ATAAGTATGGATAAGTACGGATAAATGTGGATGATATGGATAAATGGATCAGTGTGAATAACTTTGAATAAGTATGGATAAGTATGGATAAGTGTGGATAAGTTGATTATAAGTGCGAATAAGTATGGATAAGTGTGGATAAGTGTGGATAAATTGATTATAAGTGCGAATAAGTATGGATAAGTATGGATAAATTGATTATAAGTGCGAATAAGTATGGATAAGTATGGATAAGTATGGACAAGTATGGATAAGTATGGATAAATTGATAAGTGGGAATAAGTGTGAATAAGTGTGAATAAGTGTGGATAAGTGAGTTGATTATTGTGCAGTGGAATTGGGAAAAGGGGACAAGAGCCTAGCTCAGTGGGCACACCCATGAACTCTTGAAATACAAACTCTCACTGTGGATAAGTGAGTTGATTATTGTGCAGTTCGAATCCAGGTGATGAAACTTGATGAGTGAAACGAAATGTTTTGGAATTGCTTGGGGCAGGTCATGAACTTAATGATGACAGCGTAAGCCCGTCGTCCTTTTCAAAATAAAAAAAGGAGACCCCCCGAAAAAAAAAAAAATCCTCTGGTGTTACGGCGTTGATGGCATACAAACTCTCACTGACATGATAACACACGCAAGGGAAGCCAGGATAAAATTTTCTGCGTAGAAAAGAAAATGTTCTGAGCGTCGAGCAGGCTTATGAGAAAAGGGGTTCAACGTTGAGAAAAATAAAAATAAAAAAGTCTGTCGAATACATGAATGTCGGGTTCTGAAAGGGCAGATAGGAGGCAGGCAATTGTTCTCCTCTCCTCCTTTTTCATAGCTTGAGTGATGTGCAAAGGCTTCTGAGAGGAGGTGACTCTGTCCTGACTTTTCTTGAGAGAGAAATTCTCTCCTTTGTTTGTCGCTTGAGAGAGAGAGAGAGAGAGAGAGAGAGAAAAACGGGTTTGTGTGGAAGTAAAAACTGTGTTGTGGCAAAGTCAAACTGATTCCAAGCGAAGCCCAACTGATTTCCATGAAAGTCAAACTGGTTGAAAGCAAAGTTCAAGTGACCGCTATTGGAGTCAAACTGATTGAAAGCAAAGTGTAAGTGATTGGAATCAAACTGATTGTAATCAAAGTCAAACTCGTTGGAATCAAAGTCAAACTTATATCTATCAAAGTCAAACTTATATCTATCAAAGTCAAACTTATATCTATCAAAGTCAAACTCGTTGGAATCAAAGTCAAACCGATAAGTATAAAAGTCAAAGTCGTTGGAATCAAAGTCAAACCGATAAGTATGAAAGTCAAACTCATTTCTATCAAAGCGAAAATGATTGGAATTGAAGCTGTGACCTGGTAAAAAAAAAAAAAAAAAAAAAAAAAAGCTGTGACCTGGTTTGTATGGAAGTCAAACTGATTTGAATGTATGTGGACTTGTCTGCTTTAACCGTATGATGTGATGTGATGTGACCCTCGAGCGCTGCGTACATAGCACAGATGCCTCATTTGCTCTTCACAGGGCTAGAGGACTTCAAACAAAGGGGCGGAGATGCATCGCCTTATCTGACGGCAACTCACTACACTGAGCTGGTGCCCACCAAAGGAGTTGTGCTCATCCGCGGCGACGTTGTGCTTGCTGGCAAACTTAGTGATAAGGAGGTAAGGGCAGCAAAGCATATATGGTAAACCAAACTACCTTCTTTATCCGAATGCAATGTACAGTCATTCTTGCTGTATTTAGACTGAAAGGTTTGCCAAATACAGATATAAGGACGGTACGTTGTATTTGGGTGAAGATGGTAGTGGACTAAATCTTTTCCCTTTCTTTTTTCCCTTTCTTTTTCCCTTTTTATTTGGTGTGACCTGGGCTTTGCAGCCTTTTCCTTGTGTGGGGGGGGGGGGGGGGGGGGGGGGGAGAGGGGGGGGGGGGGGGGGGGGGGGGGGGGGGGGGGGGGGGGGGGGGGGGGGGGGGGGGGGGGGGGGGGGGGGGGGGGGGGGGGGGGAGGGGGAGTGAATGTGGCGCTCGGGCGAGGGTGCAGAGTACAGTGAGGAGGAGCAAGTCAGCCTGTGTCGTCTGACCATCGCGATTAACACACATAACCGCAAAGCGTACTGCAAAGCATTATGTGATAATTGTTTTTTCAACTTTTTTTTGAGAATTAGAATTTTAAATTCAAAAGAAAAGAAAAAAAGAAAAAGAAGAAAGAATTTTTTTTGAATTTTTTGAACTTATTTAAGGTTATTTTGTCAGTCTTGTGTTGGTGTGTTTGTGCTTTTATGCCGAACACTAATAAGAGTATAGAAAAACCCAAAAAATGCAGAAAAAACTTCAAAAAACTATGTTTATTTTTATTTTGTTTATCCATTTTTGGCGCGGCCGGGCAAGTGGTCCCAGGCAAACACTACCTTATCAGAGGTGCCTGGGACCACTTGCCCGGCCGCGCTAAAAATGGATAAACAAAATAAAAATAAACATAGTTTTTTTTTTTTTTTTTTTTTTTTTTTTTTTTTTTTTTTTTTTGGGAAAGATTGACAAATTGTATTATAGCAATCAAGAGGACGAGGCCGGGGACCTCACAATTCAACCCGGAGTTATCCTGGCAGCGTCAGCCAGTTCTATACTCTGATTAAAGTGTAAGCCGGGTCTCACGTAACGCTCGCGCGAGGCCCGGCTGCCAGTGTTGGAAAACGCTATTCCCTGTTGGGCCCGCTGCGTTGTGTGGGCCGCACTGGCTGGCGGGGTCGCAAATATCCAGGCGCACGTTCGAATACAGGCACATAGCTGCAGACTCTTTTCTTTTTTTTCTGCGTCTTCTGGCCCCACGCACAGTTGGGTGGTGGCTGTTTTGTGCTTGGAGAACGAATCTTTGAATACAAGCACGTAGCCGCAGACTCTTGAGTTGTTCTTTTTTTCTTTTTTTTTTGCACCTTCTGGCCCCACGTGCAGTTGGTTGGTGGGCTGTTTTGTTTGATCTTCTGCGGTGGCGCTTTGTTTCCATCCGCGCTGTTCATAGCAGCCCTCGGCCCTTTTCAGTGTGTTCGAGGTTGGCTCGCCACTCATGTTCGAATACAAGTTTATAGCTTCGGATTCAATGTACAAAAGACCAAAACGATATGGAGACTTACCTGTTTTCTCTCTCTCTCTCTCTCTCTCTCTCTCTCTCTCTCTCTCTCTCTCTCTCTCTCTCTCTCTCTC